AATTTCCTCATCAAACATTTGTCTTATCTTTTTCCCTCTTTTAAGGGACTCGCAGAAATTTTGAATAAGGTATAGATTGCCGTCGTCTGCCACTTTCTTTCTGGTGATCATTTCCACCAAAACAACCCCAAAGCCATATATGTCACTCTTCGATGTAAGAATCCCAGTCTGAGTGTATAGAGGATCCAGGTAGCCTATAGAACCAATGATATTTTTGGTTTGCTGGGCCCCATCAGAAGAAATCAATCTTGCTATTCCAAAATCTGATATCTTGGGTGAAAGGTTTTCATCGAGTAGTATATTGTCAGGTTTGATGTTCCCATGAAGAACAGGGCTATACATTGAATGCATGTATGACACTACTTCAGCCAATTCAATGGCAATGTTCAAACGTTTGTCCAAAGGGAAGGAAACATGGCCATTAGCAGTACTGCAGTGAAGGATGCTGGCAAGATTTCCGTTAGAGATAAGTTCCATAACAATTGTTAGAGCATTTTCTTCAGTGCAGCAACCCAAAAGTCTAACCACATTCTTGTGGTTTATTTGAGAATGCACTATAACCTCCTTGGCAAAAGCTTCTTTCCTTGTTCCGTCTTTGTATTTCTTTACTGCCACCAGATGCTGATCATCCAATACGCCTTTGTAAACCGCACCGAAGGCCCCTTTCCCTAGCAAAGTGCTATACCCATTGGTAATGAGCTCTATCTCCTTTTCCGTGAAAGATCTCAGATTGTAGTTATTGTTCACTCTTTGAAGAACCACATGTCCATTAAATTGAAGGAAATCTCTGAGACTGTTCCCTTGGTAGTCCATGTCTGGAATTGGAAAGCGGTGAGTTGATGCTATTGCCTATATAAAAGTATCAAGTAATGTTAAGTCAAGTGTAACATGATGGAGGATGTTAATGCATTATCAATATTATATTACTCTCTGTCATCATGGTTTCTGAATATTTTGTGCCGCTGATTAAGACAATGGCGTTTGGGTGGGGTGGAGGGGGACCTTTTTTTTGTATAAAAGCAAAAAATGCTTGAGCAAGAACATGTGCTACACGGACAATAAAAAGATCATGTTGTGCTTATTAGATGTAAAATTGTATTGTATTATAACACAAGTCGCTTACAGTCTATATATTTGAAAGGTCACCCGAACCAAAGGTACAACATGTTCTCCCAGCCCATTATCACCGCTTGTTTACAGTGCTTGCTGAACTAGGAATATATAAGATGGCCGTGTCCCTCCAGGTCCGAGGTGATGCTGCTACCGGACGATGTGATCATGTGATGCTGCTACAAGAGCTTGCACCTAATCGTTAATCTGCCAGTGATCCTCCCATACCGCGCAACGTCGCATGTTTGTATGCAGTGCTAGTTGCTAGATGCCTCAGAAATCAGTGCTACTGTTGATGGACCGACAACAGCGAGACTGCTGCTTTGGAAGACCAGCCCAGGTGCCCTAGGAAGCCCAGTACTTGTTACACCGGCAGGGAATGGAGTCCCTACTGAGCGCTTGCACGCGCGAACACGAGGCGGAGCCTCCGTAGTCTGTAATGCTTAAAAGTAGATCGCTGAGAGAGATAGGACACATTATTAATGTACTCCCTCAATTCCAAATTATAAATCATTTCAACTTTCTTAGAGAGTTAAAGCATGTCAAGTTTGACCAAAATTATAGAAACATCAAATAGGCAATACTATATAAAAATATAATTAATAAAGAATATTTAGTATCATAAATGTTATTATTATTTTATTATATAAATTTAGTTAAACTTGAGATGCTATGATTTATAATTTGGGATGGCGGGAGTAACAGAACTCTGTTTTTTCCCTAACAACAGAATTCTGTTTTTCCTAAACTAAGCTGTCCTCCGAACGCCGATTTCAGCTTCTCTCGTTCTTTGTTGTTCTCCACTCCTCTAGTTCTTCCCCTAGCTACGGCATTGCTAACAAGCACCATCGCTGAAGCCGGTTATGCGCGAGGCGCCACCTCCACCAGTGTCAAGGGGACGTGGCACCGCCGCGAGGTCACTACTCACTAGCTACAGCTCTGGTGGGGAGACCTACTAGAGACCCTCTAGGTAGGTGCTCCATCCACAAGCCCTTTTGATCAGGTGGATCTCGACGGGTTCAGAAATGCCAGTGGCACGGGAGCGATGCCATCCATGCTGAACATGCGCAAGCAAAATCACCATTTTATCAGTGCATATTCTCCCTTATCGTGTCCAAAGAGAGTGTGGATACATGTAGCCCCAAGGATCGTTCGCTGACCGCCCACAAGCTCATAGATCCTAAAATTTCAGAGAATCCACTCCATTTTGCTCAAATGTTGACGGCAAGTGGGCAATTCTAACTACGTCCATTCCAACCCTATAGTAAAATCAAATACGAGCTTGAAATTGCCAAGTAGTGCTAGCCTACTAGAGATACGTACCGCGGGCTCCCGTGGTGGTGCCGTGGTGGTCGTACGCCGAGGAACTTGAGCACTTGAGCAGCAGCCCAGTTAGCCAAGCCGACGCGCACTGGCCCTCGACGTGGTTCATTCATGCGGCGCGATTGTTGTATAGCGCAGGTCGATGACTCGTGAGTCAACTGTAATCATTTCCTTGAAAAAAGGGGGGTTCGAAAGTCGTCCCTTTGTTTTTGACTCTACAGCTACAAAGTTCATATGGGCAAACAAACACTTCTACGGAAGCTGGGGATCCACTTGTCACTTGTTCCTACATGTTTCTCTCGCCCAAATAGTTTTTTTTTTAATCAACGCTCAAATAGTTCAGCACTTGCTTATTGCCAAAAATATGACAATTGAAAAATAGGTGTTGTATAGTTTCCTTGTTAAAAAAACAACTATCATCGCATTTCCAATTTCGCTCAAGCCAATCTAACCCATGAACATGTCAAAAGAAGAAAGGGGCAGCACCTTAAGATCAGACTGGAACTCATATATAATCACCAAAGAGATCAACAAGATTCTGGTAAACGAGGCCGACACTATTTTCTCCAATGCTAGTGAGAATGAATCACTAAAATTACAGTATGCCCTAACAAAAGCCATATTAGCTACAGCTGGTTCATTTCAATTTGGCTGAATTCCTTAGTGCCTGGCTGCCTGCAGCTTCAGCTCCATTTTGCCTTGGCAAAGGCGATACTCCCTGCCCAGGAAGGCAAGCCCGGAGTTCCCATGTCTTCAGATTGAAAAAATATTTGCTCGACCTTTCCCACATTCAGCACGAATCCCCATTTCCTTCAGTCTTCATATCCAGAGTCTGCAGCTTGCTGGTGGTGAAGGGACAGACTCGACCAAGGAAGACAACTACCGTAGTTACACAAGTCAACCAGGAAACAGAACATAATGCGATTCAATTATCGCCACTTGAAGAAGACTGTGAACATTGCTTCAGCAGTAACTGCGGTTGGACACCAGATAATCCCATCTCACATACAAATTACTAGACATGTTGCGTTATTCGTTCCAAGATGGCTTGAAGATGTACCGCGGCCATTCACTGTTCATTTCAGAGACACAAGTAATACATACGAAGGAACTGAAAGTGATACAGAAGATGGCAACAGAAATCTTCTGTTGCACAACAGGTAGCCAGGATGGATCACTGAAGCTCCATGCCACAAAAAATTCGACGAAATCACATCACATGCAGATGTAACTGTTGGAGAAGAGGTATGCGTCACACTCCAAAAGCTTCAACGACACCAGAGTTAGCTTTACCAGAGTTAGCTTGGCGTGCTTTGCAGTAAGGAGCGCAGATCTTTAACGATCATACTCATGCTGGGCCAGGAGTCCGCCCTGTGCTGCACACAGCGGGATGCAATTGCAGCCATCTGCTAGCCAAAATAGAAATTCGTTGGTTTATGTATATATGCAGTCCTGTTGCAAGTTGTAACCAAGCTAAATTTTCTCTCTTAACATGAAGAATCAACAAATACTGCAATGTTAGGTAAGTGTCAAAATATGGAAGGCACGAGTTAGATTGGGGCACTTGTATGGACACTGTTTTTCATCGGAGAGAACACAACTGCATATTCAACTTAATAGCCGGAAATTCCTACTAAGTCACCAGCAACCAAGGCTATGAACTGCAAAGCCTTGATTTGTTAAACCCAAATAGACCACAAGGAAAAAGCAACCAGTGTGAAGCGTTTGCCTCTTCTCTCCCTATAAGACTCGGAATAATTCTGGTTCAACAATTAAATCAGCTTCTCTGGGAGCAGGGCTTCTTCAGAAATTAGGCTCAAGATCTAAAAACCTAAGCATAGCTTGGCGAAGCAGGCCTTAATACCAATTTCAGTTGTACCTCAATTACTAAGTCATACAATTAATTACTGTAGATAACTTTTAACTTTTACTCAGTTGTCCATAAAAAATTGAATCAAGAGTCTGTTTGGTCCAAAAAGCTGTTGCCTGGACACCATGAAGAAGCCAGTAACAAAAAAGTTGAACACATAATATCAATTTTAGCACAGAAGTAGAGACAACAATGAGAAAGATAGGTGTAGACCCAGCAGTTACTATAAGTATATGATTTATATGTATGTACAATAACATGTATCCACCTTTGCTTTTACACACAAAAAACCCTCACCCTAATAAGTCAATTATGTAAGACTGAAGTTACTAATGGATCTCATAAGCATATCCCGGCTTAGCCTTCTTATACAGGTAAAGGTGAAATTATTCCAGAGTAAGTTTCACATATAAAATTTGAAATGGTCTTATCTCGTAAGGAGACATACCCTATTTTATGTTCAACAAAGGCGACCATATGTTTTTTTTTTTTGAAATGTTATAAAGAAGAAAGAGCTGTTTAACTCTGAAGAATCCTTATAAAAAAAAATCTGAAGAAACTTTTGCCAATATGTTTCATCTTAAATTTAGACTAAACAGATAGACTCGAAGTATCTTTAAAGGCACACAAAAATTGTACAATATCTTTTGTGAGAGAGGAAAAAAGCGACATTGCAGAATGTGAAGTGAAACCCAAACTATCCACCAAAAATGGCTTGCTGAGAAAGAATATAATATTGGTCAATAATTTTACCCTTGCGGCAGCCTTGGGAGGGTATTTTCCTCCAAGCCTTGGATCCGCACGTTGTTGCACCATGTCTTCACTAAGTCCTAGCATAGGCTGCATATCAAACCATAAGTAGTTCAGCTGCTGCATCATCTTCCAGAGAGATTATGCCTCTGGTTGCACATCTACGTACCCATATCATGAGGCTCTTCTGGGAATACCCTGATATGCGACCGGTTAAAAGCTCCAACAGCACAACCCCAAAGCTAAATACATCGCTCTCCCTGGTAAACTCTCCAGTTGCTTCATACCTAATAGAAAGTATGAGAGTACATCAGTGCGTGCCGTCTCTGAGACTCAGATCCCAAGCATAGTGGAAGAATATGAACGCACTATAGTACTAGGTTACATACTCGGGTGCATCATAACCATTACGGGAAGGAATAACACAATCCAAAATAAGATCATCTAAGTAACCGGGGCGGTTTTTGGACACACGAAGGTCTCCAATCTTTGCAACATCATTATCAAAGAGGAGAATGTTGCTGGACTTGATGTCACCGTGAATGATGCAAGGCTCTGTCTTATGATGGAGGAACTCAATCCCCAGTGCAGCACTTAAGGCAATCTTCACACGTTGGGTCCATGACAGAACTGGTCCTTGTCGGGTTCCCATGGCAGCATTTGTTCCTTTGATCATGAACCACAAGAATATCAGATTCGTTGCAGAACCCATATTGCCTCTAAACACTAAATTAGAATATTAAAAGCAATGGAGAAATGTGATCAACATAGTCTATGTCTATACCATCTATGATTGAATAGAAGTAATTGACATGTGTTTGGCAGTTGCAAAAACTGTGCCCAAAATTTGCTGTTTTCCTGAGCCTAAAATTTGGTGGTCCACAGATGATGACAGCAAAGACATTTCAATTCTAGTTGTCTGAAATTGAGTCCTAAACCACAAAAAGAACAGTAATTAATGTACAGCAAAACAACCATCCGATTGCACAGGTCACCATATAACATCTCAACATATATCTGATGCCTCTATTCATGAAACATACTTGAATGCATGAAGTGAAGCAGAAGGAAGAAAAAAGAAAGAGGATCCGTAAATAGAGTATTCATTATTATCATCGTACAAGGAGCCCCTAGGCAGCACATGTCAATCTTCATGAATATGTAATATTAAATTAGCACAAGCAACTGCATGGATCAAGAAATAAGTTGATATAACATCTCAATGTTTTTCATGCCATTCTGCATTTCTGTTCACGAACAATGGCAGCTAGCTGCTTATCATGAAGCATACCAGAATTATAATCTCTCTCCAGAGTTTCTTGCAACATATTATCCAAAGGTATTATGCCAAAGCATTTAAAAAGGGACAACTATGTTCAAAGAGCATTTCATGGATTGTTTGTTTGTTATGCCCAGACTCTTAAGATTAAAGTGCCTAGGCTTGATCATTATGCATGGAACTCTATTGCTAATTACCAATTGGTCCTCTTGCAGTGAATACTTAATAAGTACAAAGACATCTCCCCCAACTAGCCCTGCTAATGTATTTGAATCCAATGAAAAAAATAAAATGTTACAACCCAAATAAAGAAAAACAATAGAGGACACCTGACTGTAGAAGGTGGAAGGGGGAAAGTTCTAACCACATTTTCCGAAGAACTGCAGAGATAGGCCATATACACAGTTTCACTCATTATCAACACAGCACATGAAAGACGAATGCTATGAGAGCAGAAAACTAATCTGGGAGTGTGTTGTAGAAATATATATAGGACTGTTGCTGTTAAAATAGTTTGTGTGAGGTAAAAACATAGCAACTCTCATGCACTGCTAACTGTGGTGGAAATACACAAGCTGATTACAGGAATCGCCTCAATGATAAATAGGTCCACAAGAAAGATTTATCACTGGCAGTGCAGGGTTTCTTCACAAACTATTTAATAAAATAGAATGCAAAGACTTCAGTTTTACTATTACTTTGCAAACTGATTCCTGCTGCCGAGCTAACTAGGACTGCACATAAGATTAGTTTACCTGTTAAAAAAAGAGAACATTTCTCTAGAGAATTTCCTCATTCAAAGCATACCACACAGCATGGCAAAAAAATTAGAGCACAGGACATAACAGTCACTCTAACAAATTGACATCTAACATAAAGATGAAACACAGTTGAAAACTGAATTCACCTTGTGGGGGATATACCCCCGGTACCACAAGATGGTACATGGGCCGCACCATCCGAGGTGGCCCGGCCCGTAAGATCAAGGCGTGCACATCAAGATTACAAGTTGTACTAGATATTGTAATAGTACTAAATTGGATACTTTACGTGTAACCTTGTCCCTTTGCAGTATATAAGGAGGGGCAGGGGTCCCCCTAAAGGACGGATCATACACATCAATACAATACACCAAAGACACATGACGTAGGGTATTACGTCGATCAGATGGCCCGAACCTGTCTAAATCGTTGTCTCTGCGCCTTGTGTCACCATCCGGTTCCTGATTACACGCATCCTACCGATAATCTACCACCACGGCACCCCCCTCGGTGGATTGCCGACCATATTTCGTCGACAGTGGCGCGCCAGGTAGGGGTCCCCTTTTAGGGGTTGTGCGTGCTTGATCTTCTGGCGAATCAGATGACAATTTTCTTTATCTATACATCGTCCACGACGACTCGGCTCCTCGCGGCAGGCTTCCCTCGGCAGTGTTGCATGAAGATCTTGATCGACGTATCGGTGGGCCTTGGCCCGTGGCAACGACGCCGCTCGTAGCGACCACACATCAAGACTCATGATACCCCAAGCCTCCGTCGGACAAGACTTCGTGGTCAGCGCACCGTGCGGCAAGGCAGATCAAGCAAGGAGCAAACACGTGCATGCTTTGCATGTACCTCCAATCTCTGACAACAAGACGATCCAGACTCGTGAACAACGTAGCTGAAGGTCATGCAACGCTAATCAACCAGCAAGCAATCAAGGACAAATACATCTACAAGACATGCAAGTTAGTTGAGTCAGGCTTGCATGCATATGCATCACTTGTACGGAGTATTTTCTAGCAGCAGCCGACCAGCGAGCGACGCCGAGCTCCGACCACGCCGACTATGACCACGTCGACCACGTCCCGAGTGGCTTCGCCGAGCTTCGACCACGGACCACGTCGACCACGTCCCGAGCGGCTCTGCCGAGCTCCGACCACGTCGACCACCAGACCACGTCGACCACGTCCCGAGCGGCTCTACCGAGCTCCGACCACATCGACCACCAGACCACGTCCAGAGCGGCTCCACCGACCTCCGACCACCCGAGCGGCTCCGCCGAGCTCCGACCACGTCGACCACCAGACCACGTCGCAATGATGATCGCCGCGAAGAACGGCGCTACGACAACCGTGACCATCGTCGTGACGACAAGTCGAAAAGCTCGAGGACCGGACAACTTCATCGCCACCGACCAGATTTCTATCCAAAGATAAGTACACTTCTAATATTTATATTTAACACAATTTTCATTACGACATTTCTCCACAGTGTCCTCGTCATGATTATTCTTCAAATAACGTTTGTCCATGTATACCATCTTAAAGATAACATATAGCTATACTTAATGCAAATCCTCAACCAATCATGTTGACGCTCGATGTCTCCAGAAAAGGCCCTATCTCCGGCTCCTCCCTACATGTGCACGAGCGTCTGCCCTCTGCGTTATGGGTGGTCGGCAGCGGTTCCTTAGCGACGCTTTGTTCTTCCTACACGTGCACGGGCTCCGTGTCCGCGTTATGGTTAACGGGCTAACTAGGGCTGGAGACTCAGCTACATACTAACTGGTCAGGCAGTTTATATTAAGTATAAATACAAACTTCACTTTAACACTAATGTTTACAAAGCACCAACTGCTTTATCACATCATGCTCATTTGCAAATGACTGCTGAGCGTCATTTTCTCCATAATTTATTACTTTGTACATCATGTACTACCATTCTACATATTTATATTGCAGTAATTTCAAGCTATGCTCGGGGACTTCGTCGCCCGCTCCTCGACCTGTGCTCGGGGACTGCCTCGATCACTCTCCGATCACGGCTAGGGGACTTCGTCGCTCGCTCCTCGACCTATGTTCGGGGACTGCCTCGACCACTCTCCGACCACAGCTCGGGGACTTCGTCGCTCGCTTCTCGACCTACGCTCGGGGACTGCACCTGTGCTTGGGGATTGCCTCAACCACTCTCCGACCACAGCTCGGGGACTTCGTCGCTCGCTCCTCGACCTGTGCTCGGGGACTGCCTCGATCGCTCTCCGACCACGGCTCGGGGACTTCGTCGCTCGCTCCTCGACCTATGCTCGGGGACTGCCTCGACCACTCTCCAACCACGGCTCGGGGACTTTGCGTCTCGACTACATGTGACTGGCGACTCGCATACAGTTGGGATATTTTTTCTCACTTAGACCTTGTTACAAGGCTCATACCTCACCTTCCAGCAAGCTCGGGGACTACATCGGTATGATGCACTTGCCGGTGCATCTCATATCGCCTGTACGACGATTGGATTCTCAACTTAACTGGGAATTCTTTTTAGACCCTGGCACCACGTGCCTATGTCACCTACTACCAGGCTCGGAGACTAAGTGGGCACACTTCACCTTGCGGTGAATGTGTTTGTTTTTCGACCCCTACGCCTCTGATGATCAAGGACGCTACGCTTTAAGACGCACTTACATTTCTTTTCAGAAATACAAGTGGGCACACTTCCCAGGACGGAAATCTTTTTCTTTCTTCTTAAGAGCACCATACATTCTTCGGACAACCTACTTCTCCGGCGACAACGGTGGTCGGAGATGTCAAGAACTCAAGCCTCACTGTTCGGAGAAGGTTGAAACGGCGTGTCGCATCAGAATACATGGCGCTCGGGGACTAGCTGTGGGGGATATACCCCCGGGTACCACAAGATGGTACATGGGCCGCACCATCCAAGGTGGCCCGGCCCGTAAGATCAAGGCGTGCACATCAAGATTACAAGTTGTACTAGATATTGTAATAGTACAAAATTGGATACTTTACTTGTAACCTTATCCCTTCGTAGTATATAAGGAGGGGCAGGGGTCCCCCTAGAGGACGGATCATACACATCAATACAATACACCAAAAACACAGGACGTAGGGTATTACGTCGATCAGATGGCCCGAACCTGTCTAAATCGTTGTCTCTGCACCTTGTGTCACCATCCGATTCCTGATTACACGCATCCTACCGATAATCTACCACCACGGGCACCCCCTCGGTGGACTGTCGACCATATTTCATCGACACACCTTTTTTTGTCAACACTCAACTCCTGGCTTCATTGAGAAAATGATACTTTTCAGGCAAAGACTTTGTATGGTGCTGATATTCACCCCTCGAAAAAAATGATATAAGCACAGAAGTGGTGGAAGCCTCAAGTGAGAAATTCTTCTCATCAAGTTTGGAGAGGTCACAGAAGTGGTGGAAGCCTCAAGTGAGAAATTCTTCTCATCAAGTGGTGGAAGCCCTGCTTACATCCTCTCTGCAACAGCCTCCTAACTAGAGCATTTAACATACGTGAGTCTGGAGCAGTACCACTCTTTTACATTGCTGAAAACAGACCATCAAACTCCTCTAGCGACCCTTCTTCTATGAGATTTTCCGCAATTAAGTGGTAGGTCACAACATTCGAAACCAGACCATTAG